TATAGAAATACATTGCGATTCTCAGAAGATTTAATGGTATAGAAATTTACAAGCAATCTGACATTTCTTTTATGAAACAAGTATTATAAAAATAAATTAAGTCAATTCCTACTTAGGTCAACAAAGAAAATTTTTATTTTAGTTACTTTTTATTAAATAATTACAATTAATATAAATATGTATATACATATGATAGAATCACATTATTAAGTGGCAAAATAAATTCATCCGGTAAATTAAATGGTTGGAATCCAGTTTAGCCCAACCAGCCTTGGTGACAGGAATTATTTGGTGGTATTTTGTCAAATGTGGCTACCCTGATCCGCTTCACGGACTTAATGTTCAGTCAAAAAAAATCGCCAACTTTGGCAGTTTTTGAGATCGCACTAAGTGGTTGGGCTAAACTGCATTTTCTCCATTTAAATTTAATTGATATTTGAAAAAACTGTATGAGCATCAAGTGCCATCCATTACAAGTAAAAAATGTATTTGAACTTGAGTGGATGAATAAAAAGTATTTTATTAACGATTGAAAATTTGAACAAGATGTATATAGGGAGAGTGTGAACCAATAGTAGGAATTTAATAAGAACGGAGTATTACAAAAATTTGTTAAGAACATGTATCAGTAGAATGAATGGAGAAATATTTTATCAAAAATATTGGAAACAAAATGATGAATTAAAATTCTATCTCATGAATGTTATATTATTCTCTCAATACTTTACTTAATATTTTTCAACTTTACCTTCATATTTTTCAACTGAATAAAACATTTAATACGCATGTACTAGAATCCAAAAAATATGTAGTTATTTACTGAGTTTAAAAGGTTAGGTTCTTCAAATATAAAATAGACTATCTTTTCGAGTCGTATGTAAATGTAAATAGACAGCCATACCATATTGAATGTACCGTCTCTCGTCCAATCACCGAAGTTAAGCATCATCAGGCGCGGTCAGTACTTCGAAGGGTACCCCTTGGGAACACTGCGTGTCTTTGGCATAATTTTTATAGCCCTCGTGTTGCTTCTAGTACGACGTCAATAAAACCAATCACTTGAGTCGTAAGAGGGAAGGAGAAAGAAAAGAAACCTTTTTATCACCCTGTGTGAAATTGGATAAATAGAGCTAACCCCGACATCTACCATTGATTGAGAAGCCTCAACATACATACAAAGAAAACAATCTTTTAAATGACCTCGCCAATTATTCACCTTAGGTTGTGACGTTGGGTTATTCACGGTTTTCTCTTTACTAACCTTAAGGATTTTAATTAAGATTTATTGCTATAGACAACAATTTCTTCCCAACCCAAATGAAACATGATTAGGTAAATTAGAGTCAGGTAGAAATAAAGTGAAATGATTTAGATAGGAAAGTATATAAGCAAAAGGAAGTCTAGTGGATAGAGGTTGAGTGTCACTAGCGTTGAGTATATGCCTTACAGGTGGAAGACGAGATCAAGAGTAGCTACGGGTGAAAGTGATCGTGGGGCCACTGTAGCGGAATAGTATTCCTATTCGCCTCTTGTGCTATAACTCAATCAAATATACTAACACTAAGAAGTCAGTAACTTATACAAGAAGACGTTAGACAAATTAAACGCACATTATTTATTCAATAGATTTGCTCTATAAAGATAAATGAATTCCTGTTCTCCAAGGTAACATCCTAGATATATTCACCCGTCTCTCCCTAATTAAGAGTGTCTTACCGAAACTCTAACAGTTGAGTTTACTTGATTACTTTGCTATAATCACTCTCACCCGTAGCAACTCTTGATCTCGTCTACCACGTTCGTGTTGCTTCTAGTGCGACGTTAATAAAAAAACTAAAAAAAAAAAACTAACTCGTCTACCACGTGTAAAGGATATACTCAACGCTAGTGACACTCAACTTTTAAAACTTTTAAACTTTTTTAAATACACTTTTGAAACTTTTTAAAATTTTTAGCTTAGGAAATGTTACGCGTTTATTTTAGTGATCAAATTTGAATTGAGTTGTAGATAGTGTTCGAATAAAAATATTAGTATTGTGTAGTATTCTTCATTTCATTATAAGTTAAAATCTCGTTCTACAGCTTAAGAAATGGTTCTGTGAAAGATAAAGCTTCAACTTTAATGATCAAAATATTTAAAAGTTCCTCACATATTTCAATATCAAAAGAATCTGCCAATATAGCAATACCAGGTTTGTCCAGAGAATAAGAATACCGAAGTTAGTAAAGTGAGAAACTCACAAATAGGCCAATGTCATTATCTAATATAGTATGAATCTAAATATTTCTTATGTTTCCGTCTTATACAACTTGATGTAAGATTATCTATTAAAAACAAAACTTCAAATTAAAGATTGGAGTGTATAAAAGATGCGAAAAGCTTTTAATCTGTATAATGTTTTGCCTTTAATCATTATTCAATAAAATCTGAAAGAATATAAATGTTCCTTCGAAAAAGGTGACTATGCATCACAACTGCAAAATCAATAGAATCCAATTCTCAGTTATTACGTTCTAGTAAAAATGCGACCCGTGTGGTGACCGGGGATGACAGAATAGTCCCACTGTAGCTCATGCATGTCGTAAAAGGTGACCAAAATGGGTACCCAGCGTCTGGGGGTATAGCTGAGGCACCGTGCCCCTGGGGATTATATCAGGACCTCAGACTTCTTCAGGTAAGTACGAGCATCATGACCCCGAGGCACCCTAGTGATCTTTTTCTTTCACATGGAGTTTACTGTCTTTGGTAGACACGGGTGACGCATCCCCATGTTTACCAAACGGATCCCTAGGGTAATCCGGGTGAAGCGTCCTCGGATTACCCTAGGGATCCTTCTCTATTTTCGACCCTCCTTCTTGTCAACCAATTTGTGTCTTTTCTTCAATTTCTTCTCGTCTAGACCACAGTTAAATATTGTTTGGTGCGGCATAGCCATATCTGGCTCCTGCGCCAATAAACTTTACTTTCTCACTTGACCCTTCTTGTCGATCAATCTTTTTTCATTGTTTACCGTCTAGATCAGACTTTACCTCGTTTGGCGCGGTTTGGCCCCTTCTGGCCCTCACTCCAATAAAACTTCACTATCATAATCATAATCTAGTAAAAATGCACTCTATTTATTCTAAGAAAAAATTTCCCTTACAGAAGATAGCAAAGTAAAAGAACACTACATTCGAAAAATTATTATTATGGAATAATAAAAATAATTATTCGAACCTGTAAACAAAGATTTGATTAGATTGAAAAGTAAGTCTGAAGGAAAAGATAGAATTTCTCTTTCTTTGTTTAGGATTTATCTTTCAATTTCTTTGCTTTTAATCTTATGTTTCTCTTTCATTGTTTCTATTATATGTACCTCTTTCTCCCTTTTTAATCTATCTGCATCTACACGGATTTATGGAAACTCAACTAAAAGTTCTAATTATGAAATAATAAATAAATTCATTATTCTTCTCACTGAACAAAGAATCTGAAGTATAAGAAAAACACTTCACCTGTAATTAATTAAAGGAAAATGAATCATGAACTTTAATAGCGCCTTTGTTAAATGATGGCTAAAAACGTCATGACTCACAAATACCATCGGAATTAAGCTTGATTTTCAAAATTTTTTAATTATGAGCTTCTGTTTACAATGACATAATAATATTTCAGCATTAGCGCGAGTGCTTTGACATTCATTATCACTCAAGCTGTGCTGCAAGTTTTTTCCTTTCTTGCACGATTCATAAGTTAATTACAATTGAATAAAATAAGATAACGTTGGAAATGAACATTCCAAAGATTACAATAACTAATTAAAATATATCTGTCTCCATGATTTTAAGATTTTTTTTCTCTATGTAATATTTTCACTGATATCAAACAACTTACGTTAAAACAAATTCCAGTTTTTTTTATATGATGTGACATATTCAATTTTTAAAAACAAACGATTTAATCTTAATGTGATACTTTTTTTAAGATATTATCTGT